AAAGGGGGGCTTTTCCACAAAAAGATAACCAGGCTTTTCCACAAAAAAAAAAAGGGCTTTTCCCCCAAAACCGAAGCTTTTCCAGGAGATTTTCCTGTCCCCAGCTTTGGGATTTTGGCACAAACGCCACCAGGGGCTCGGGGCGGTGTTTTGGGATGTCCCCGATGTGCCCAACCCCGCTGTCCGAGCTCTCGTGTCCCTGCAGGGCGGGGACAGAGGGACCCGACCCTTGGTGGCTCCGTGTCCGGGGGGTCACTCCGGTGTCCGAGTGGCCAAAATCCGTGGTGTCCCCAAGGTGCCAATCCCCTCCCTGGGTGGCCTCCACCCCCCCGAGGTGTCCCCAAGCGCCGGGCAGTGACACCGTTGTCACACGGGGGGTCCCTTCCAGGGGAGGGTCCCGGTGGCTCCGGGAGCGGCGATTTTGGGGGATTTTCCACCATTTCCGTGAGAGATTTTGGAGGATTTTCCACCATTTCCGCCTCCCCGCGGGGCTCGCGGAAACGGAGAAAGGAAAACAAAGTTTGGGATGGGATCGGGAAACGGAGAAAGAAAAGTTTGGGACAGCGGGGTGGGACACGGCGGGGGTGGCGCGGTGACCCCATAAACTCGGGGTGATCCCATAAATTCGGGGCGATCCCACAACTCGAGGCGATCCCACAAAGTCTGGGTGACGCCACAAACTCGGGGTGATCCCATAAACTCTGGGTGATCCCATAAACTCAGGCTGACCCCACAAACTCGGGGTGTTCCCACAACTCGGGGTGTCCCCTCAAGTCCGGGTGATCCCACAACTCGGGGTAATCCCATAAACTTTGAGTGATCCCATAAACTCTGGGGGACCCCACAAACTCGGTGTGACCCCACAGACTTGGGGTGACCCCACGGGGTCTCAGGGCAGCTGTGGGGCACCCATCCCAAAGGTCCCAGCAGTGTCCCCAAAGGTTCCAGCAGTGTCCCCAATGGTCCCAGCAGCGTCCCCAATGGCCCAGTAGTGTCCCCAAAGTCCCAGCAGTGTTCCCAATGGCCCCTGCGGTGTCCCCAAAGTCCCAGCAGTGTCCCCAATGGTTCAGCACTGTCCCCAAAGGTCCCAGCAGTGTCCCCAATGGCCCCTGCGGTGTCCCCAAAGTCCCAGCAATGTCCCCAATGGTTCAGCAGTGTCCCCAAAGGTCCCAGCAGTGTCCCCCAGGCCAGGACACGCGGGGACAGTGTCACACCACCCCTCCCCCACAACCCCATCCCACCGGGAAGAGGCCGCGCACTCCGGCCACCCCCAAAATGTCCCCAAAGCCCCCAGTGGCGGTGCCACCCTCACC